TCCTCAGTGACTTCTGGCTCTTCTGCTGCTTCTGCTTCTTCTGCTGCAAGTGGGCTTGTGTTTGTAGGGTTCGTGGTCAAGGCGACTGGTACGGCAAGAGCGCGGAAGGTTCCATCGAGGCCGGGTCATTGATAATCGGTCTCTGCTGGATGGCTCCACGTCGGTGGTGACGGGTGGCCGGGTGGATCGAGGACAATGATGTGTTGGTTGTCGCCGGAGGTCTTGGGCGATTCGAAGTCGAGCACGAACACTCCGCCCTCACTTGTCGCCTTTCCGATAAAGATCCCATCGTATATTAAGAGAAGCTCGTTTTCTGCTGTTTGCAGGGCGACGCCACTCTTCATCAGTTGTTCGAGGGACAGGAGGTTGTACTGAAGTTCAGGCACAAGGAGGACGTCGCTGATGTGGATGCAGTAACCGGTGTCGTACGATTCCAACTGGATCTGTCCGTGGCTCCTAGCGTAGATGGTCTGACTGTTGGCGATGATGATCTCAACCTCGTTGACGAGCTCTTCACTGTTGAGGATGAAGTTGCTCGACGACACCATGTGTTGGCCGCAGCAACTGTCCAGGTACCATTTGTTGACCTCTTTCCTTGCCTTGGCTAGGTTGGCGAGCTTCGGAGTGATGTGATGCTCCATGTCGTGTTCGTTTACGTAATCGTACTAACACCGTTCCTCGTCGTATGCAATGCGTGCAGGTGGTGACTCCTGTATCCACTGCGCCGCTTCCCAGTCGTACTGCATTCGACCGACTGTTAGCTCGTCGTATGTCGGATCGTTCTCTTCCTCGTCTTCAACCGAGCCTTCGGGCCGCTCCTGAGGTGGGTCTGCGAACATGTCCTCCCAGTTGCGGAAGAAGCGGTAATGTCGGTTTGGGCGAGGCGGTCCCCGACGCACCATGCAAGTTAATACCTTCTTCTTGCATTCGTCGTTTGTGTTCGCAGGAATACGCGCCGAAGCTTGAGATGTGCTGGCGACGGCTGGTGGTGACATTGTCTGGTTGCGTGCTGGAGCTCCTCCTTGCTGGTGGGTTGTGGCACCCTTGTCGTTGTTGTTGTTGCCGTTCAGCTTCCAGGAGTCTTGAAGTGTATGTCTTGTCTTCTTGTAGTACTTGCAGAAGAGCCTTTTCTTGTCCGGTGGTGCTTGCGCGTAAAATGCGATTTTCTCCTTCTTGTTGCCTCTTTCGTTGTACAGGTCGATCTCCTTATGTTCGGAGAGGAGCGAGGCACAGAGGGCAGTTTTGCTGAGGGTTCCTTGCGTGCGAAGGATCGACTTGCACTGGCGCCATTCTGGACTCAAACCAGCGAGGATGATGGTGACGAACATGTGGTCACGGAAGTTGCCGCTGCTTTTCCTTAATTGGTCTCTCGGGTTTCTGCAGCGGTTGATGTATGGGCCGGCCTTTTCGGCGGGAAGCATCTTTACGTTGTTCAGCTGGTTGAGAAGGCGACTAAGAGTCACCGACGCTGTTGCCATGTGGCAGATGCGCAGGTGTTCCCAGGATTGTTGCGTGGGTGCCCACTCGTTCTTGAAGAGACGAATGCTCAGTTGTTCTTTGGGCGACAGGTTCCGAATCAACACTTTGAAGGCCAGGAGCGACTCGTTGTAGTACTGCGTCTTCTCGTGAGGTGAGCCATTGGTCGGAAATGCGTATGACACGTCGTATTACATCCAGATCTGAGCGCCTTGAGCCAGCAGCTCGAACTCGAAGCTCCAGGTGTAGAAGTCTTGCCTGTCGAAGGGCTTCGTTGTCCTGAGCTTCGATGTTGAGAGAAATTTGCTATGCATTGACGCCATTGCTTCGTAATGCGTCTGTTGTGCTTGTGCAGATCCTTGGGCTCCGCGGTTGTCGAAGGTGAAGGATCATTCGGATCCAGCTCCTTGAGGATCGAACTGTCTTCGGGCGTAGCTGGATCCGTCGATGCTCATCGGCTGATGGCTCTCCATGGCGCTGATGCGGGAGATTAGCTGCTCGAGGAGCGCTGAGACCACGGTTGTTGTTGTAGAAGCGACATTGGTGGAGGGTTGTACTGGATTCTCTCCAGCCTCCCCGCAATCTGCGCCTGGCATGTTGTTGCTCTTGATGTAGTGATAAGTTATAATGAAGAAGCATTTTAGTAGTTCCTATAATCCAAACTAGCACTCATACCATGTTAGAGTAAAAGGATCTTGGATAGGATAGGAATGCCTTAGAAGAGTTTGGTAGCGGAAGTCTATGTTGTAAGAACTCTTATCATAGTGAATGTAGATGACAAAGATGTTTAAAACATAAAATTACACACAATAAATAGATCTAGCTTACCATGTACTCTGAGTGGTACATTCCCTTATTCTAACTGCTTTACAGGCAATTTTACAGTGACTCCGACTATTGCACTTCTTGTTACCGAGTCGCTGCGTGTAACCGTACTCACTGATCCGCCTGTTGCCATTCCTCAATGGTATGTCAATCTGTCAGAATAACTGTGCAGGAATGAATGAACTATGAATGAGTCGGGTACAAGTACTAACCCTAAAGTGTTGTACCCCTTGTAGGCTAACTCACTATAGCCTAGAAAGAACACAAACATATAGTTTGACAGACCCCCATAGGCTAAGTGGGAGATAGCAAACACAACAGACGGTCACAAGACCAGTCAAGCAAGAGAACAAGCAAAACAAAGCTCAGGGTGGATCTCAAGGACACCACATAATCTGAGCACAAGAAAGCGGCCACAAGGCCAGTTCACATGCAGATGTATAATAGCAAGGTAGTACACTGATTACAATTTAGCAAGTGTAAACATGCAGGTTTAAAGATACATAACAGTGTACAACAAGGACACGTCAAGCAACCAGCAGGTGAGGCAGAGTGGGCACAAGCCCAAGAGCAGTGCAGAAAGGCTGATGATCACCAGACCCAAGGGCCTTGGTGAACACATCAGCAGTGTTGGCCCGAGACGCCACGTAAGCAAGGCGAAGCTGACCACGCTTCTGCAGCTCCCGAGCAAGAAAGCAACGAAGAGCAATGTGCTTCGTTCTGTGCTCCAGTCTCTGCTCGCAACACAAGGCAAGCATTGCCTTGTTGTCGACGTACAAAACTGGAGGAGAACGAGGCCGCTCCCCCAAGTCGGTCAGCAGGTAGGTCAACCAGCGTAGCTCCTGTGCAGCCATGGCCTCATCGTAGATCTCAACCTCACAGTTGGAACCAAGCACAGAAGAAGAACAAATGGACCTCCACGAGACAGAACCAGAGCCAAGACTGAAGGTGTAACCCTTTGACGAACCCTGAGTCGCCTGGTCGTCCGCCCAAGAAGCGTCGGAGTGTCCTGTGAGTACCACTGAACCCTGTACTCCAAGCACGAGCCCCATGCCCGATGTACTGCACAAGTGACACAGTACCCTCTTCGCAGCATCCCAGAGCACCTTTCGGTGTCTACCGGGAGCCACGTAGCGAGCCAGGAGGCTGAGAGGGTACGCGAGGTCAGGTCGTGTGCACGTCATCAGGTACATGAGGCAACCCACAAGCTCTGGGTACGGACCACTCGGCTCTACGGACTCGTCCGAAGGTGGAGCTGAGAGCGAGTGACCGGTAGACAGAGGAGTGGGCTGTGGCAAGGAGAACTGGAAGCCAAAGCGCTGGAGGACCTGGTGCACCATGTGTGACTGAGTCAGGGTGATGGTGCGCCGTGCTCTGTCCTGGGTGATCTGCAGGCCAAGATTGCTCCGCAGCTCACCCAGGTCAGTGCAAGTGTGTCTCTCCTGCAGCTCCGCCTTCACTAGAGCCAGCGCCTCAGTGTTAGCAGTAGCAAGGACCAAGTCGTTGATGTACACGAGAACGGCGGAAGGGTAGTGTCGGTGCGTAGAAACAGCGACGGGTCAGCAGAGGAAGGAGAAAAACCAAGAGCCGCAAGTGTCGTCCTCAGTGTGTCATGCCACTCGCGGGGCGCCTGGCGGAGGCCGTAGACTGGTCACTGTAGGCTCCACTGGGTACCTGCAGGAAACGACTCAGTGAAGCCCTCTTGACGGCGCAACCAGATGGCCTCGTGAAGGCTACCCTGCAAGAAAGCTGTCGAGAAGTCGAGGGAGTGCAGCTCGTAGTCGAGGAAGTTGCCTGGGCTTGATTCTTTCACTAGTCGCTCACAGATTGCTCCAGTTCACACAATGCCTCTGACTGTGTGGTAGACAGCCCTCATTGTTGCTTCATCCACTCCCCACACGGTCTTAATCGCCGCTCGCTCACTAGCTTCGCCGTCTGTCTCTTCTTTCTCTCGTAGTGCAGTTTTGTTTTCAACTCTCTCCCTCAGTATCTCGCCGTTCTTTCCCTCCTGTGCATGCGTGTGTGTGTGCATCGCCCGCCTCCCTCTCTCAGTGGCTGTACTGCGATAAGTGGGTGGTGTCTCCTCTGGCTCTGCAGCAAGACAACATGCGCATGTTATCTAAACACACCCTTGACCTCCCCTCTTCCTCTCCCTAACTCCTTCCTCTCGCCTCTCCATGCACCCATCAGTGGCTGTACTTCGACAAGTGGGCGGCACCTTGACTGGGCATACAGAGAGACACCATGCGTATGCTGCCCATCTATTTCAATGACCTCATCCATGTCGACGTGCTTTACCAGGCAACGCGGTTACCACGTAACGTGGTTATTACCAAGTTTGCTTACATATGAGTTTGTGGTGATTTTTGTAACTTACTTACTCTCTGATGCTGCCCATCTATTTTGATGACCTCATCCACATTGACGTGCTGTCCATGTAATGTGATTACCCAGGTAACGCGTTACTAGGTAATGTACTTCAAATGAGCTTGTCTCAATATTGTGCTGCCCATTTACTTCAATGACCTCATCCACATTGATGTGCTGTAACTGGTAATGCGGTTACCACATAACCTGGCTACTAAGCTCTGCCTCTCCACCCACACCATGCTCTCAAGCACGACTTCCTGCATCCCCAACCGCCCTCCCCCCAGCCTGTATACAAAGACTGCGACCATCCCTGCCCCTCCCGCTGGCAAATGCTGCCCAACACCCACCTGCAGCACCCCTCTTCAACCCGCCTTTCTCCCTCACCCCTCCCATTTCTTCCCCTCCCCAACACCCCCCTCACCCGCCCTCCTCACCAGCCTATCTACGGCGACCATCCCAGCCCTTCACTCTGGCAGCTGCTGCGGCGCCGCCACCTCCTGCACCCCACTGGCCTCCCCCTCTTCAAACCCCTCTCCTCCCCCACCTCTCCCATTTCTTCCCCACTTGACCCCCTGCTTCCCTCTCCACCAGCCCATATACCAAGACTGCAACCGTCCCACCCGTCTCTCTGGGAGTTGCTGCGGCGCACCCACCTCCTCCACCTCGTCGGCCTCCCCATCTTCAACCCCCTCCCCCCCCCACCTCCCTTTCTTCCCCTCCCCAACCTCCCCCCCCCACCTCCCCCCAACTCCCCCCCCTCCCTCCAGCCCATATACCAGGACTGCGACCATCCCAGCCTGTTGCTCTGGCAACTCCTGCGTAGGCGCCACCTCCTGCTGTACCCACCTGTCCCCCCCTCTTCAACCCCCCTCCCCTTTCCTCCCCCACCTCCCCCACCTCCACCACCTCCCTCCCCCACCAGCCCATATACCAGGACTGCGACCACCCCAGCCCGTTGCTCTGGCAACTGCTGCAGCGCTGCCACCTGCTGCACCCCTCTGGCCTCCCTCTCTTCAACCCTGACTGGTCCTACCGTCAACACCACGCCCCTCTCTCTGCTGCTGAGGCGCGCACCTTCCCACCCGTCTGGCTGGTGGTGCTGGCGAGTCGGCTAGAGGGCGGGGCGAGGGCGCTGGTGAACAAATTGGAGGTAGAGACGATGCTGGTGCGACGGTTTGGGCGAAAGCGAGTGGTGGTGTTTGATGGCTCAATGCCCATTCTGCAAGGTGGGTGGCGTTTTTTAGTCGCTGCGCTGTGGTGTTTTTGCCCTTGTACCTTTCAATTCCAGTAATGGCCGTTCATTTGCTTTCCACCCTTTAATTTTGTTTAGGCGATGGCTGTTCATCCACTGCTTTCCTTTCCTGCAACATTGAGTTGTAAGCGTGACATGCAATATCAGAGCATATCTAACTAGCCGCACATAGCTGGGCAATGATTCACTTGGTGATTCACTCTAAATCCGTTCTCCTTGCATCTGCACTTCCCCTACTCTCCACCTACTCCTACATGCCCTGCTTCCCCTTGCGTCCCCGCTCCCCTGCTCCATCCTGCTCCCCCCTACCTCCCCTATTTTCCCCATACCTCCCCCTCCTGCCTGCCCTCAACCCATCCCCTCAGCCCGCCTGCTGTTCCGGCGGACCCGCTTCCTCATGGGGGTGCACGGAGCAGCGCTCACCAACACCATCTTCATGCCCGAGGGGGCCGCGCTGCTGGAGATGCGCCCTAGGGATTGTCACATCACCGTCTTCCACCCCCTTTGCTGCCGCCTGTTCCATCGCATACCATCTGTTGCTCGCTCAGGGGAATTGCTCTTCTCCTGAAGTGGCGGATTTGCCGAGCGTGGCTCGGGTGATTGATATGGTTCATACACGTTTGAAGAGGGAGGATGGTGGGGGTTTGTTGCAGGTGAATGTGTCAGAATAACTGTGCAAGAATGATTGGATTAGCAAGAGTTGGGGTACAAGTACTAACCCTAGAAGTGCTGTACCCCATTAGGAGTGCCCCACTATAGCCTACAAGTAAGATTGTACTTTGACACACCCCCATAGGCTAAGTGGGGGACAACAAGACGGTCACAAGACCAGTCAAGCAAGACAATGGATCAAAGCAAAGCAAAGCTCAGGGTGGATCTGAAGGACACCACACAATCCGAGCACAAGCAAGCGGCCACAAGGCCAGTTCACATGCAGAGTTATAATAGCAAGGCAGTACACTGATCACAACCTACCAAAAGGAAACATGCAGGTATAAATATAGATATCAGTGTACAACAAGTGCAAGATCAAGAGACAAGCAGGTGAGGTAGAACTGGCAGGAGGCTGAGAGGGTACGCGAGGTCAGGTCGTGTGCACGTCATCAGGTACATGAGGCAACCCACAAGCTCTGGGTACGGACCACTCGGCTCTACGGACTCGTCCGAAGGTGGAGCTGAGAGCGAGTGGCCGGTAGACAGAGGAGTGGGCTGTGGCGAGGAGTACTGGAAGCCGAAGCGCAGAAGGACCTGGTGCACCATGTGTGACTGAGTTAGGGTGATGGTGCGCCGTGCTCTTTCCCGGGTGATTTGCAAGCCAAGATAGCTACGCAACTGACCCAGATCAGTGCAAGTGTGTATCTCTTGCAGCTCCGCCTTCACTAGGGCCAGTGCCTCAGTGTCGGCAGTAGCAAAAACCAAGTCGTCGACCTAGACAAGAACGTAGAACGGCGGCAGGGTAGTGTCGGTGCGTAGAAAGAGCGACAGGTCAACAGAGGAAGGAGCAAACCCAAGAGCCGCAAGTGTAGTCCTCAGTGTGTCGTGCCACTCGCGGGGCGCCTGGCGGAGACAGTAGACTGGCCGCCGGAGGCTCCACTGGGTACCAGCAGGAAACGACCCAGTGAAGCCAGGTGGGCGGCGCAGCCAGATCTCCTCGTGAAGGCTCCCCTGCAAGAAAGCTGTGGAGATGTCGAGGGAGTGCAGTTCGTAGTCACGCTGTGCTGCAACGTGCAGCAACACCCGAAGAGTAGTCATCTTTGGGGTGGGGGAGAAGCTCTGGAAGAAGTCGACCTCCTGTCGCTGACTGAAGCTTCGAGAAACGTAACGTGCCTCGAAGGCAGGTGGAGAACCCGGCGGCCGCTTCACTCTGAAAATCCACATGCCATCGACTATGTTCGCCACAATAAAAGGAACCTCGTCGATGTAGGTGCATGTGCACTTCCAGGAAGCCATCTCTACGGCCATGGCCGTCCATGGGCGTCCATGGCCGTCCTGAGGAGTACTCACCCACGATCGCCTCAGCGTAAGAGCGCGGGGTAGGGATGTCAAGCGCATCCGGGTCTCCCTCAGGGCAAAGCAGCATGGATGCGAAATGAGGTAAAGTGGCCGCAAGACACTCAAGCTCAAACTGCATGTCCTCAAGGACGTCACTGCTAAGGGCAGGCTCACCCCCGACGGACGGAGGACAGACAGACTCAGAGTCAGTAACAAGACTCGCGACGTAGTCAAGACGACTCCTAGGTGCAAAGTCGACTAGCTCAGTGATTAGGGCAAACGCAGCAGTAGACTCAAAGTCAGGGTCAGTGACGACAGTAGCGAGGAGACGAATGACAGTAGGACTGGGTGCATGAGCAAGGTTGGACTCAGGCTCAGGAACGTGCGGAAGAGAGGACGTTGGAGGCTCAGGCAAGACAACACGCTGTGGAACAGCGGAAAGACGAAGTGCCATATCGTGAGTGCCTGGGACAGCAGGAGGACGAGGACGGGCGACACGACGAGCACGAACAGGTGTGGAAGCACGAGACTCAGGCTCACAACTCTCAGTCAGGGACTCAGTCACCTCAGTGTGAGGAGCAGGCGCAGGCAGCGGGGAGCCAGGCAGTAGCTGAGGCTGAGACTAGTCTGTCGGTGGACACAGGAGAGGTAGAGGTAGGCCAGTGGAAGCCGGGAGACTAAGAAGCTGGCGAAGGACCGAGTCAGGCGGCGGCAGGGACGACTGCGGCTGTGGGTGGAAAACAGTCGGCGCGGGGCAAGACCAACAACTCTATCTCCTCCAGCACCAGCAGCACCAGCAGCTCCAGCACCAGCAGCTCGAGTAGCACCTCCAGCACCTTCAGCACCAGCAGCACCACCTGCTCCGGCAGCTCCAGCACCTCTAGTTCCTCCAGGACCTCCTGCACCTCCAGTGCCAGCAGCTCCAGTAGCACCTCCAGCACCTCCAGCACCAGCAGCACCACCTGCTCTAGCAGCTCCATCACCTCTAGTACCTCCACCTCCAGCGCCTCCAGCACCATTAGCGCCTCTAGCACCAGCAACACCACCAGCTCCGGCAGCTCCAGTACCTCCTGTACGAGCACCTCCAGGACCAGCAGCTCCAGCACCTCTAGTACCTCCAGCTCCAACGCCTCCAGCACAAGTAGTACCTCCAGCACCTCCAGCACCAGCAGCACCAGCACCTCCAGCACCAGCTGGACCTCCAGGACCAGCAGCTCTAGCACCTCCAGCACTAGTAGCACCTCCAGGACTAGCAGCTCCAGCACCTCCAACACTAGTAGCACCTTCAGGACTAGGAGCTCCGGCACCTCCAGCACCAGCAGCACCTCCAGTACCTCCAGGACTAGCAGCTCCAGCACCTCTAGCACCAGCAGCACCTCTAGTACCTCCAGTACCAGCAGCACCTCCAGTAGTACCTCCAGTACCAGCAGCGCCTCCAGTACCTCCAGCAGTACCTCCAACACCTCCAGCACCAGCAGTATCTCTAGTGCCTCCAGCACCAGCAGCACCTCCAGCACCAACAGCACCTCCAGCACCTCCAGTAGTACATCCAGCCGGGTCACCCACAGCTCCACCGCCACAAGGACTCGCAGCACCCCCAGAGTTAGCACCCCCAGTAGCAGCACCCCCAGAACCCTCACCCTCTGTCTCAACACCCCGAGAACCCTCACCCCCAGGCTCAGCACCAGCAGTCTCATCTCCAGAGTCCACAGCAGCAGGCTGCGGAGGTGGTGAAGACGGCCGAGGCGGAAAATAGGGGGAGTCTCTAAGCGTGGAGAGCGGCGAGTGGCCGTTTTGTCGTCAGCGGCAAGGTCACCCCCCTCAGCGGGGCCAGAGGAGTCAGAAGAGATCTGCAAAGGCTCAACCAAAGGGGGTGGGTCTACCTGACACACACCTGAGGGAGCAGGACCCTGTGGGGGGAGGGGGTCTACCGGGGGGGGGACTGGTACCAGGAAGAGAGGCGATAGGGGGACCGGGTGGGACGCGTGCGGGTGTAGCCTGTAGAAACAGACTGACTCGTCAAAGGTGACGTCCTGGGAGGAGAACACGCGACGGTCGCGCGGGTAGTAGAACTGCCACGGCGGGGCGTCACTGGGGAAGCCAAGGAAGACGCAGCGAAGAGTGCGAGAGGAGAGCTTGCTCGCTTTGGCATCGCAAACAAGGGAGAGCGCCCCCCAGACCCGAAATACCGATGCATCGCCAACCTTCCCCGTCCACCGGAGGGTGGGCGAGGTCTCTGGCTCAGAGACACGAGGCCAGAGGTTGAGCTGATGCGCAGCGTATCAGACCGCAAACAGCCACAGAAAATGGGGAGCAGCCGCATGGATCATGGAGGTACGACCAACCTCCATAATCAAGCCAATGCGACGCTCAGCAATCCCATTCCGCTGAGGAGAGGACGGAAGCGTGAACGTCTAGCGGATGCCCTCGTCTCGACAAAACTCCTCAAGGAGGCCAGAAGATAACTCATCGCCCCTGTCAGAGTGCAGACGCAGGACTGACAAGTCCCGACGAAACCGCTCGCGCAAATGGCGACGAGTAGCACGGATCCAGGGGATCAAAACACCGCTGACGTCCGCCTTGCGCCGCAAGGGGAAGACAGTGGTGTAGCGTGTGTAGTCGTCAACAACCAGCAGGAAGTAACGCTCCTGGTCCGTTCCACCGACAGGGGCCGGGCCCCAAACGTCCATGTGGAGAGTCTGCGGAGGAGCAGTGGTCGGAGGAAACTCGGAGGATTGAGGAGCGGCGCGCTGCCGCCTCTCGACTCAGGGAAGGCAGGGCGGTGCAGGCGAGCGTGGGAGGGAGGGCAGGGACCTGGGAAGCCCAGAGACAAGGAGACAGGAGTGCATGCCGCGGAGACGCGGCAGTGAGGGGTGACCGAGATGGTGGTGCCAGAGGAGAGTCTGGTGGGAGAGTACCCGACACGAGCAAGACGCCGCAAGCTGACCAGACGTAGACACCTGACTCGACGCAGCCACCTGACCTGACTCAGCCACCTGTGCAGACGCAGTGGTTAGTGTGAACAGACTAGACCCAGGCCGTCGAGTGAACGTAGCTAGGTGACGGCTAGTCCGGGAGCACGTACATATCGCCACACGATGCCCTCCAGGAATAAAGGCATCAACCTTGACATCCTGAATGGCAGCGTTGCTCACCAAGTTTGTATTGAACATGGGGAGGTGGAGACCTGACAGAGAACCGGAGGGGACTGCTGGACACGGGAGGACAGTGGAGGCTCGTGCGACTACTTGGCCCCTAGTGGGGTCAGCCAGTGAGACTGGTACCGGTGCAGCAAGAGGTGTGAGTGTGGTGCAGTCACGAAAGAAGCAACGTGACGCGCCTGAGTGAAGTGTGAAAGTGTGCAAGGCCTCAGCTGAGGCAGGACTTGTGGCGGTAGACGCACGAGCACCTAAAGCTGCATCACACTCACTAGCACCGAGTGTGGCAGCAGACTCTTTAGCACCTGGAGCGGTAGCAGACTCACTAGTACCAAGTGTGGCAGCAGACTCACTAGCACCTAAAGCAGCAGCCTCTACAAAACCAGTGACACATCGCTGAGAAACCAACTCACTAAGCAGCGGCAGGGAGAGGGTCTCCAGCTGACTCCGCTGCCGCCTCTGTGCAGTAAGCAGAAAACCAAAGCCTCCACCACCTGGACGGGCTTGCTGCATAACCCACTTACGAAGCTGCTGAGGGGTGGGGTCGTCCGGGAGAGGCACTGACCGCCGCTGTCCACCCCTAGACGCTGCAACTGTCGTGATAGTGGCCATGACAGGCAATGACGTTCAGTAGTAGGTCTAGCACCTCCAGCACCAGCAGCACCTTCACCATTCCCAGTCGCAGCTCTAGCAATTCCAGCACCAGCAGCACCTCCAACACTCCCAGCAGCACCTCCTCTAGGAACAGCAGTAGCACAAGCAGAAGCAGCAGCAGTAGTAGTAGCAGCAGAGCGGCTCGGTGGGGCTAGGCGGTGGAACCTCCAGCACTCCCAGAAGCACCTCCACCAGAAAGCAGCAGTAGCACGAGCAGCAGGGCGGCTCGGGCTGGGCGGCGTGGCTCGGCCTGGGCTGCGCAGGCAGCAGGGCGCGCGCTGTGCAGGGCAGCAGGGCGCGACGCGCGGGCTGCAGCAGGGCGCGACGCGGGGGCAGCAGGGCGCTACGCGCGGACTGCAGCAGGGCGCGACGCGCGGGGCAGCAAAGCGCGACGCGCGGGCTGCCGTAGGGCGCGATGCGCGGAGCAGCCGAGCGCGACGCGCGGAGCAGCCGAGCGCGACGCACGGGCTGCAGCAGGGCGCGACGCGCAGGGCAGCAGGGCACGACGTGCGGGCTGCAGCTGAGCGCGACTCGCGGGCTGCAGCAGGGCGCGACGCGTAGGGCAGTAGGGCGCGAACCCTGCAGACGCAACCCTGCAGACGGGGCGCGCGGGGCAGGGGCTGCTCTCGGGCAGCAGGGGCGCTCGGGGCAGGGGCTTCTCACAGGCAGCAGTGGCGCGCGGGGCAGGGGCTGCTCACGGGCAACAAGGGCGCTCGGGGCAGGGGCTGCTCACAGGCAGCAGTGGCGCGTGGGGCAGGGGCTGCTCTCGGGCAGCAGGGGCGCGCGTGACAATAGGGCAGCGCGCTAGGGCAGGCAGTGCGAGTAGCTGCAGGGCAGCGTGACACTGTGCGAGAGGGGCGGACAGCACAAGGGCGCTTCGGGCTGGAACTTAGCAAGACGATTGGTGGGCCCTAAAAACTTAACAGGTTTCCTGCTCTGAATACCATGTCAGAATAATTGTGCATGAATGAAAGAACTATGAATGAGTTGGGTACAAGTACTGGTAACCCTAAAGTGTTGTACTCCTTGTAGGCTAACCCACTATAGCCTAGAGAGAACACAAACATGTAGTTAGACACAATCGTCGGTCCAGATGGTCAACAGTCGCGACAGTTGACTCTTGCGACTGTTGACCTTCCTGCTCTTGATACAGACTGATCCTATACTGCTGCTTGCGCTGCTTCGATAGTGACGGGTGCGATTTTGCTGCACCTAGGGGAATGCTAAGTATAATTCCCTTCATACTCCAACAGATGAGATGTCACTTTCGACAATTCCCGCATAATCATCGTCTTTTCGTGCGCCAGCCACAAGTCGCCATATTTGATAAGTTCGTTTCTGACGAACCATAACTGTGCGTTTGCCCGGTTCCCACCGTTTTGTGTTGAAAGTTCCACACGGTAATTTTGCGATGATGACGTCATAGAGTTACGTGCGAACTACTATGCGAACTCACACGACAGCAGTAACCACCATTTCAAGCAGACTGTCCAACAAACGAACCGTCAGGGACAAAATGGTTCACTCATTGAGATCAGTGAGCTGCTTCACGTCACTCCTGTGGTGCAACATATTCAAGTTATGCATCCGAAAATACACACTGCATTCATTTCTCATTGCTTTGCATCTTCAGCAGTAGGGCTGGCTACTCTGGGGCAACAATAGCTCTGACTCATCAGTGAAACGGGCATCTCTAAACATCTCTGGAATGGGTCAGTAGTGCTCCATTAAATTCAAATTCACCTGGATCTCACTCCAAAACCGATTTTACACTGGTTAGTGCACCTGGACCACACATTTAGGCTGATTAGACACATTACAAGGAACCATCCAATGAGCAAATGCATTCCGCCCCTTTTGGATTGGACTAAACTAGTAGGAACTAGAAACAATAGCAACTTAAATTGTAACCCACCTAAAGACCCTTACGAACTAGGAAACTAAGTAGATACACCCTCGTGACGGACTGATCACAAGGTGTAGACGCGAACGGACGTCTTCCCTTGCAACCAGACCAGCAACAGGCTCAGGATTAGTAGTCACACCAGAAGCAGAAGAGGGGTTTGTACATTTGCCCACGCCGCCAACCCTTGCTTGTCGTCATGTTCACATAATACGCGTACGGCGACTTGTACACGTCATCAATCACACTTGTAACGCTCATGCCGTTATACGCTGCCACGTAGGACGCGTTCACGATCCACGAGGTCATGGTGTACTTGTCATCGTCCTCAACAGGGTTTCCGGGAACCACCAGCACAACCTTTCCGAACACGGTTGGCAGACCCTTGCGAATCGTCATCGACTTGATTTTACTGCCGTCCGATTGAGCCTCAAACTTGAACGAAGTGATGTTGTTGTACCTGCGAGGATGCCGGTCAGAAAAAATAAAACACACACACAATAAAGGGGGGTAAGTTGAGCCAGTACTGCCACGTACTTGGTGATCTCGAGCTTCCCTTGTCGTCGTCGTCATCATCATTTTCGAGTCAACTCAAACACCGTCAGGCTCAAAGACCCGCATCGCGAACACCCCACTTACGTGTACTTGGTAATCTCGAGCTTGCCTTCCTTCTCGCTGTCGCTATCCTCGTCATCATCATCCACGTCGTTGTAATCGCCCGTGTTCTCCGCCTTGCCCTTGAGCACGTCTGAGGGCGGAATCGACGGAGCACGAGATAAGGAAGGGATGAAAAAGGCACAGCTAGGCAAGCCAGGAAAGGGAGAGAACATAACATTTACTTGGTCGGGGTATGGGTGGGTGGGTCGGGTGGCGGTGAGGATGGAGGAGGGGGGGAAGATGCACATACCACTGGATCCATTAAGCAGCGAAGGCTCGTGAAGCAGCAACATGGCGATTTGTTCAAGAAACGTACGAAGGTTCAGTACGAAAGGCAAATCAAGCTCGGACTGTGAGAAGGGAAGAATGACATCGTACACAGCTTGGTGCCGGGGAAGGAGCTCTGCTTGTCCTTTTGGAGCGCCGCGAAGAACTCGTTGAGGAAATCCGTGATGGCCGTGATGTTGATCTCTGGAATCTGCGCGCTCGCCTTTGGCGCGCCTCCCAACACGAGGAAGCACACGAGCACGCCTGCGCGTGGGTGCACGGGGGAGCGGAGGCGGAGGCGGGGGCCGGGCAGGGCGGTGCGGGGGGGGCGAGGGGGAGGGGGGGGAGGGAATGAGTCAACTCGTTGAGGAAAATCACGAGCACGACACGAGGAAGCACACGAACACGAGAACCAGCAGGCGCGCAGCGTGATATCGCGGAACGGCGCGCGACGGCGCACGGCGACCAGCAGTCAAGTGAAGGCAAGCCGTGTGATGATACGCGAAGGCATAACTGGTCATGAAGCTCGTGAATACGACATTCGACAGCAGGGAGGCACGAGGCAATAGTTTGAAATCGCAGGTTTTCTCCGTCTTCTGTAGCTTACATGATAGTAGGGACGCAATTGACCTCATTGTGGTCGACGGCAGATTGAGCCTGGATGCGAGGCAAGCGGAAAGGTCCGAAGTGGAGGAAACTAGTGTTGGTGGTGGATAGCTGTGTTAGCTGAAGAGGTTAACGTGAGTAGACAAGCTCTGTAGACAAGGCTGGCACACGGGGCACTCGATTGCAGGACTGGGAAGAGTACGTGATAGTTTCTTGAAGAAAATTGGAAGATATCTGGTTTTGGTGGAAGGTTGTCACTGTGGGCTCTTTTCTGCAAGCTGAGCCCCCAATTTGCTGTTTTGCTGGAGGCGGGAGCGCTACTACCAACCAGTGTGTGCTTGTGAAGGGCAGGATGTACTTGGGAGTGGCAGCTTGTGCCAAGTGAACACCTTCATCAGTTGCTTCTCAGCCGAGGCGATTTCGCCTCGATGTGCTTTTTCCAATGTCGAGTTGGAACTTGGGTGGTCCTCCGAGTCGCTGCTGACCCGACGCGCATAGCGACTCGGTACAACTCGTTGCAGCGCACATTACCAAGGGCTCCCCCCCATACTGGCACAGGTCAATCTCTTTGTTGGACTTGCCCAGGGCTACGCGAGTCGCGAGATGCATTTTGCATCCAGAATTCAGGATTCTGTGCCGAAACTTTTATCGGCTGCCCTTCCACAACTTCACAGATACACATGTACTTCGTAAGGTGGCGTTTTTAAAGGTGTCTAGTACAATAACCATCGGTCTGCCCGCTCTTCGAGAGTAAGTATAGGTTACAATCACGGTACTTGAACCGAGGTTACGAGCACAATGAATATTTGCAACCCAATAAATCTACAGAGTACAGAATTAGAGCCCGCTTACACTTGCTAAAAAAGCGTATTAAGGGATACACTGATTGTATTGCGTCCGGCTCCACAATTTGTGCGACACGACATGCCTATAATTTAATAATTCAGCTTGTCCATCCAGTTGTTAGCTTCCATGCTGTCTCGTACACCATTTCAATCAAGCCCTGTCCCACTGTGTAAAGTCATCACGCCCTTACGCAATACATTAGGGTACGTTCTTGGCTGGTGTCTAGCTTCGGGCCAAGTTTGCCTGGTGTCAGCCCCCTCCAGGAACGTCTGACACAAATCCAAGAATTTCCCTCATGCCCGTCAATTCCACCTCATGCCAAGCAGCTTGGCCCGAAGCTAGACACCAGCCAAGAACGTACCCTTAGCATGAGTCGCACCGCCACATTAACATTGCCATGTATATTTCCTGGATTGTCATTATCTGTCGGAGTAAAAGGTCCCGCCCTCGCTTGGGCACAAGCATTCTCTGCGACGACGTGGTGAGTTCGACGAAGTGATCGTCGCATTGGATCAGCCTGTTTTCTGAAACCGCGGTGGGTTTTCGAGGAGGTGGTCCTCTGATTCACCAGCCCATCGACAAGCTCTGGTCGGCGGGGTGCTGATCGACGAGCTCGTCCTCTAATCTGCTAGTGAGTCGCGCGATCTCTGACGGACGGGGTGCTTCCTGAGGAGCCCCGTTCTCTGATCGAAGGGTGCCATTCGGCGAGCCTCGTCTCGGCGAACTGGTCGGCCGAATTCGCGCGACTGCGGAACTCTGCGAAGGCATGCGAAATTCGCTCAGGTGGATCTTAGCGAAATTTCACCCGCGGAATGACATTACGTGCTCGACGGTGGACATCTGACGAAACCTTTGGAACGTTTTCTACATGGCACCTGTGCAATGTCTCTTACGGTGCAACCGTTTACCCGCACCTACCCAGCAAGTGCACACATGCGCAGATATTTACCTACGAATGCAGCGCTGGCAGGCCGCCCTGTTGCAGCGCTGGCATATCACTCTTCTGCTACGCTGGCAGGCCGCCCTGCTGCAGCGTTGGCGAATCGCTCTGATGCAGTACTGGCAATTTGCCTTGCAGAATGCTTGCTAGGGGTTCCAATGCCATTCTAGTTATATCAACTTCCATGCCTCATTTTGTAGTCTAATTCTGAATTCTCAATGTTCTTTTCAATTCCTTAGTGGAAACTCTGGCCAAATTTCTCGGTGAAAACAACAAATAGTAAGAACTCTGCTAGAGCGCTACGATCATCCGCACAACCCCGTGCCCTCCTCCGTAGTCCACTCCCGTTGTAGGGTGACTCTCCGCATTATCGTCCCTCAAAATCCTAATTTCCGCTCATGGTTCGCATTCATTTACCTCGTTGATGTAAACCTCACTTCTTCTTTCACGTGCGCACGCAACAAAACATGATACAAAGGCGTGTTACGTGTAATGATTCAGTTCCCACTTGTATTACGTGTACCGAATAGAAAGGAATACAATGGCACGTTTTACGTATGCAAAACCACAATTTACTATCGCATACTAAATTAGTTTCCACTCGTGTGCCAACGGTAGAACGTGAAACTCGTTAAGCATCAGGTTTTTGCTTTGCGATGAAGCACTTAAACTCCCTACTTGTACTTCGAGGTGCTCACCTTTGAACGTGCAGCCTTGTCAAGATAGGTAGGAAGGAAATGGTTGATTAAGTCAAAGGGGAGGGTACAAAGAGGATGTCGAGAGAAATGTTGTACCCTTTAAGGTGCAATTCACTGCAAGCTAAATGATCTAGCATATAACTTTGACACACCCCCACAGCCTGAGTGAGATGCATCAAAACGATCACGACAAGCATGCGGTCACAAGACCCGTCAAGAGAATAAAACACAACAAGCTCAGGGTGGATCACAAAGTCACCACACAGCCCGAGCACAGGCAAGCAGCCACAATGCCAGTCCACAAGTAGTGATATAATAGAGCAAGCAGTACAGAGATTACAACCCAGCAGATATATCAAGTATACTGCAAAATCAAGAGACAAGCAAGTGAGGCAGAGTGGGCACAACCCCAAGAGCAGTGCAGAAGCGCTGATGATCACCAAACCCGAGGGCCTTGGTGAAGTTATCAGCAGTGTTGGCCCATGAGGCCACATAAATAAGGCGAAGCTGGCCACACTGCTGTAGCTCCCATGCAAGAAAGTAACGAAGAGCAATATGATTTGTTCTGTGCTCCAGCCTCTGCTCGCGACATAATGCAGTCATGGCCTTGTTGTCAACGTACAGAACTTGAGGAGAATGAGGCCGCTCACCCAAGTCAGTCAGCAAGTAGGTCAGCCAGCGTAACTCCTGTGCAGCCATAGCCCCAGCGTAGATCTCTACCTCACAGCTGGAACTAAGTATAGAAGGTGAGCGGGTGGACCTCCAGGAGACAGAACCAGTGCCAAGACTAAAAAAGGAACCCTATAACGACCGCTGAGTTGCCTACTCGTCGGCCTAAGAAGCGTCGAAGTGTCATGTGAGTACTACTAAGCCCCGTCCTCCAAGCACAAGCCCCATGCCCGATGTACTGCACAATGAACGCAACACCCTTTTAGCAGCCCACCAGTGCTCTTGTCGGTATCTCCCAGGCGCGACATAGCGTGCCAGGATACTGAGAGGGTATGCGAGGTCAGGTGGAGTGCAAGTCATCAGGTACATGCGGCAGCCCACAAGCTCTAGATACTAACCACTCGGCTCTACAAACTTGTCCGAAGATGGAGCTGAGAGCGAGTGGCCTGTAGGCAAAGGGGTGGACTGTGACGAAGAGAACTCGAAGCTGAAGCATTGAAGGACCTGGTGCACCATGTGTGACTGAGTCATAGTGATGGTGCGCCGTGCTCTGTCTCGGGTGACCTGGAAGCCAAGATAGCTACGCAACTCACCTAGGTCAGTGGAGGTGTGTCTCTTCTTCAGCTTCGCCTTCACAAAGGTCAGCGCCTTAGTGTCGGCAGTAGCAAAGACCAAGTCGTCGACGTACACGAGGATGTAGAATGGTGATAAGGGTCGGTGCGCAGAAACAGAGATGGATCAGTAGTCGAAGAAGTAAACCCAAGAGGCGCAAGTGTCGTCCTCGTTGTGCTGTGCCACTCGTGGGGCGCCTGGCGGAGACTGTAGACTGGCCGCCGGAGGCTCTACTGGGTACCCTCAAGAAACGACCCAGTGAAGCCAGGTGGGCGGCGCAGCCAGATCTTCTCATGAAGACTGCCCTGTAAGAAAGCTTTGGAGAAGTCGAGGGAGTGCAGCTCGTAGTCACGTTGTGCTGCAACGTGCAGTAACACCCGAAGAGAAGTCATCTTCGGGGTGGGGGGGAAGGTCTGGAAGAAGTCGACCCCCGTCGCTGACTCAAGCCTCGAGCAACGTAACGCGCCTTGAAGGTAGGCGGAAAACCTGGCGTCCACTTCACTCTGAAGATCCACATGACATCGACTATGTTCGCCCTAGGTGGGGGAACCTCGTCGACGTAGGTGCCTGTGGACTTCCAGGAAGCCATCTCTGCGTCCATGGCTGTCTGCCACTAAGAGGAGTACCGTGAGGATCGAAGGAACTAGTTCAAAAATTATAATATGATCATCTGGGTACGGGACGAGGCTATATGTAGGCTCAACACAAAGGCAGTAACTTGGGTGTTACTAGAAGGTTCAGCGGGTTGCGAAGCCTCCCGAACGGTTCCTTCCAGAATTCGGTAGAAGGCAATTCGATGGCAACCGAAAAGCCTAGAATCTGGTGCACGCAACCTAGAACGGTGCTATAACTATAATAAATGTAGTAAGCAACGTTCCTAAGGAAAACGATCAAAAGCATGCAAGATAAAATAAGTATAAGCTAGATAAATGCATAATAAAGAAGAATCAAGCAAGTAAAGTCCAGCAAAGCCATCGTACTCTCACAAGTACTCACCCGTAATCGCCTCTGCGTGAGTGCGCGGGGTCGCGATGTCTTGTGCATTCGGGTCTCCCTCAGGGAAAAACTTCATAGACTCGAGATGGGGTACAGCAGTTGCAAGGCACTCGAGCTCAAACTGCCTTCCCTCAAGAACGTCACTGCCAAGGGCATGCCCACTCCCGACGGACGGAGGACAGTCATACTCAGACTCAGTCATGAGACTCGCGACGTAGTCGAGACGACATGTAGCAACAAAGTCTACGAGCTCAGTGACTAAGGCGAT